ATGGATGGTTGGATGATGGATGGTGGATGGTTGGATGATGATTGATAAAAGGATGGATGGATGGTTGGATGATAGATCGTTGGATGGTTGGATGATGGATGGTTGGATGGTTGGATGATGGATGGTGGATGGTTGGATGATGATTGATAAAAGGATGGATGGATGGATGATGGTTGGAGGATGGATGGATGGATGGTTGGATGATGGGTGGTTGGATGATGGATGGTGGATGGTTGGATGATGATTGATAAAAGGATGGATGGATGTTGGATGATGGATAAAAGGATGGTTGGATGATGGATGGTTGGAGGAAGGATGGATGGATGGATGATAGATCATTGGATGGTTGGATGATGGATGATGGATGGTTGGATGATGGATGGTGGATGGTTGGATGATGATTGATAAAAGGATGGATGGATGGATGGTTGGATGATGGATAAAAGGATGGTTGGATGAATGATGGATGGTCGGATGATAGATCTTTGGATGGTTGGATGATGGTTGGATGATGGTTGGATGGTTGGATGATGGTTGGATGATGGATGGATGGATGGATGAATGATGGATGGATGGCTGTATGGATGATGGATGGTTGGATGATGGTTGGTTGGATGGTTGGATGATGGATGGATGGATGATAGATGGATGGATGATGGATGGATGCATGATGGATGGATGGATGGATGATGGATGGATGGATGATAGATGGATGGATGATGGATGGATTGTTAATTCTGGTTCTGGTTGGTTCTGATTGGTTCTGGTTGGTTCTGATGGGTTCTGGTTGGTTCTGATTGGTTCTGATTGGTTCTGATTGGTTCTGATTGGTTCTGATTGGTTCTGGTTGGTTCTGATGGGTTCTGATTGGTTCTGGTTGGTTCTGCAGCTACGCCACCATCTACACCATGTTTCCTGTCTTCTCGTTGGTTCTGGACCAGGACGTGAAGCCTGAGATGGCGCTGCTGTACCCGGAGCTTTACAAAGACCTGACCAAGGTTCTGATGTGTTCTGGTGTCGGCYCGTGGTTCTGCTGCGGTGCTGGTTCTGACCCACAACGTGTTTTTTGTTTTTCAGGGTCGTTCCTTATCGTTCAAGACTTTCCTGATCTGGGTTCTGATCAGCGTCTATCAAGGTAAACTTTTCTGTTTGACCTGTATTTGGAGGTCCTGGACCTGGTCCTGGACCTGGACCTGGTCCTGGTCCTGGTCCTGGTCCTGGTCCAGGGCCGGGCCTGCTGTAAATTCCCGACAGTCTGTTTCTCAGTATCTTGGGTTTCCAGCCTGCGGCGGCTCACATGCAGGCTTTTGTGCGAGCGGTAAACGGATCTTGGTGAAACCGCTAAGCCGTGCAGAGTGTGAGAAAGATCTGTGTTCCTGCCGGAGCGTGACTTCCTGACAGCTCCGGCTTTTAATTAAAGGTCTGAGCGGCTCCGCGGGGACAGAACCGGGAACATGAAGACGGTCTGAGAGCGGCGAGGCTCACCTTCATTATTACAGAGGTTGAGTCTCAGGAATGCTGTGGGTCATGTGATCAGCTGCAGCTGATGAAGCTCAGTTTGTGGTTCTGATAGAACCGCAGGTTATCAGGAGACGCCCGGCGCCCACAGATGACTGATCGCTCCCAAACACAACTTTTATCCTCAGAAAGGACAAGAGTTAACGCTGAATCAGCCCAATTAAACTGAAACTTCAGAGGCGTCTGCACGTCCAGACGTTCTCATGAAGCTGAATTATTACTTTTATTTTCTAACATCCTGAAAAGATCCAGACTCAGATAAAAAGACTTTTATTTTCTAAAAAAAATCACCAAAATAAAAGACTGTTTGGTTTTTGCTGCTCTGGCGCCCCCAGGTGGCATCCTGATGTACGGCGGCCTGGTTCTGTTTGAGTCCGAGTTCGTGCACGTGGTGGCCATCTCCTTCACAGCGCTGGTGCTGACCGAGCTGCTGATGGTGGCCCTGACGGTCCGGACCTGGCACTGGCTCATGGTGGTGGCCGAGTTCTCCAGCCTGGGCTGCTACCTGGCCTCGCTGGCCTTCCTCAACGAGTACTTCGGTAGGTGAGGGTTCTTTACAGGACTGGATCAGAACCGCTCTGTTTACAAACCCTGTTTAACAACAGGTTAACATAGTCTTTTTTTTTAGATTTCATTTGATTTTATTCAGTTTTGAATCTTTTCTTTCAGTTTTTATTTTATTCAGTTTTGAATCTTTTTTGTTCAGTTTTGAATCTTTTTTGTTCAGTTTTGAATCTTTTTTGTTCAGTTTTGAATCTTTTTTTC